GCCTGCTTCTCCCTCTCCCACTCCCCCTGCTTGTTCCTGCTCTCACTATGTCTCTCTCTGTCAAATAAATAAATAAAATCTTAAAAAAAAAAAAAAGAAATAATATTAAGAAGTCTTCTGCCTCTGGGCTTTGAAGGTGCTCTGTTTGCAATCATCTTTTCTTATTTGATATTTAAGATTATCCTTCCCGGTAGACCAGGTCTGGCTGCCTGTGTCACTGCCAAACATCAAAGCCTCTGGTTAGGTTTGCTTGGCATCTCTTGGGAATAGAGCAGGAGAGATTTGGTTTGGGTTTTTGGCATTGACCTGGGATGGAGGCAATCTCTTGAGACACAGCTCTCTCCTGCACATGTGAACTGGGCAGACAGAGCGCTTCCGTGTGAGCCAGGTGCAGGGAGAGCTGGTGACCCTCTCCGTCTGCAGCTTCAGTTCATGGAGCAGCACCTGTAGGGGCCGCCCTCAGGCCTGCCCCTGACTGAAAGGGTGCTCTGGGCATAAGCAGTCCAGAGAATGTTCCCACTCAGCCTCTTCCATATGCTCCGGGGTCCTGCTGCAGAAGTGAGGTGGGAGACATGCCCTGGAGCACATTTCTCTCCTCGCCCAAATCCATGATCCTGGGACCAGAATAAACCCTGCACTGGGCTCCATGGGAGAGAGGCCCATGTGCGGCCGCCCAGAGTCCCTCCCTGGCCGGTGGGAGTTCTAGAGGCCTGTGTGAAGGCTGCTGGGCTGGCCGCACACACTGGCTGTCACGGTCCCGCCGAGCTGAGCTCCTGGGAGCGACCAGGCCCAGGACAGAGGCTCTGGGAAGCGGGGCCAGGGTCTCTGCTCCTGTCTGATCCCGCTGCTCCAGCCACACAGCGATGGGCCTGTTCCCCACATCATGGTCACAGACCACCCTCGGACTTTCCATCAAGCTGCTCAGGGCCTCCCCCAGTCCTTGAAGGGCTCGGGGGCTTGGGGTGAACGCTGGCAGGCACTGGGGTGTATGTGGGCACACCTCCTGTAGAACCCCCTCACCCCACTGACAGTCTAGGGGAATTTGGACAAGTAACTTTACCTCTACCGTCACATTCATCTCCTCTCTGAGTGAGGACACTTATGGGCTGTAATAAATAGTAAGTGTGTCTCAGGTGCCTAAGATTAGCCCAAGTACAGGGCAGTCACTTGAGTGCCCAGCTGGCTGTCATTCTCACGGCCCAGCGCAACCCCAGGCCCGTGGCAGCCACCTCCATGTTTGCTGCATTGGCTCATTGATCAGCTGATTGACTAGGAAGGGTGGCAGTAAACCCATGATCATTCCTCTCCTGTTCCCATTTCAGAGAACAATCTGGTTGTTGGAGGTGACAGAAGAAGGGAAATATGAAATTCATGATTAAAGGAGAGATAAGGAAGGGTAGCAGGAGGGAGCAGAGGGAGGTAGGAAATCATGGGGACAGAAAGTCATGGGCACCACCGTGGCTGCCTCTTGAAAGAGTGGGATGACAGGCATTGCTTCCTGGACTCAGTTACGAAATCTGAGGGCTGGGAACGGCCCAGAGACCCTGGACGCCTTCTTAACAGTGAAGTAAAGGGATCACGGTCCCGGGGGTGGTGAGGTGGGGGGCCTGCAGAGCTGAGGACAGAATTGAGTTTTGGGGTTGGGGACATAATCCCAGAAGCAGTGGCCTGAGTCCCCATGTCACCCTGACTGACCCCTTTCTTTTCCCAAGACAAGGTCGACACCATCCACGTCACAGTCCACAAAGAAGACTATTTTGGAGACTGCGAGGACTCTGACCAAGAGGTCCACAATCCGTATGTAATTTATTTCCTCTTTCATCTTTTTTATACTCTTTGTCTTTTTTTGATAAGGATTTATTTATTTTATTGCGAGAGAGAATGAGATTGTGACAGTGGAGGAGGGGTGGAGGAAGACGGAGAGAGAATCCCAAACAGAATCCCCTCTGGGTGCAGAGCCTGACATGGGACTGGATCCCAGGACCCTGAGATCATGACCTGAGCCAAAATCACGAGTCACACGCTTAACCACCTGAGCCACCGCACCCCTATCCTCTCTCTTACTAATAAGCTCCTTTTTCGAGCTTTGGCTAATTTCCTGTTTCTTCCTTTTTATGATTCCCATCGTGCAGGACCTGGGCTCATCCAGGCACTTGATGTCTTTGGATCTTCAAATCTATAATCGCTCTTTTCAGCCCTGCTCAACCACTTCCTCAGCATTTTCCTGGTTTCTGGTCCCTAGTCTGCATGAAAAACTGCATGTAGAAATGGACCATAGCCAGACCATATGTGAAGATAGTTTTCTGACCCACAACCATTCCAGGAAGCAACCCATTACCTTGGTGTCCGCCAAGCAAGCAGGCCCACTACATATGTCAGACTTGTAAGAAGGTTGGCTGCTGTATGTAACAACTTGCTCAGGAATCTGCACCGTAACCCTTGTAACAATTGGCCCCAAATGATCATAATTATATCTGAGAGCTTCCCTAACTAACTCTTATCCCCATTTCCAACCTAGGACCGGCCACCAGAAAACAACCAAGTATGCACCCCTAACAACCACATAAGATGCCTCCCTTCTAGACAGCTCACTAGAGCCTCTCCAAATAAATATTCTTTGCTTGTTCTCATTTGGCTGGCCTTTGTTTATTGGACAGGTCATCCAAGAAGTCCCACCAAGACCCCGTCTGAGCTGCCTGGTCCTTGAAAACCAAAGCTTTCCATCCCGGGTGGTGCCCACAGAGGCCGCGTGGGCCTTGCTGCTTTGCAGCTTCTGGAGTCCATGAGGACACGGTGAGTGAGCATTGCATCTGAAATCTGCCCTCTTGGAGTGAGTTCCTAGGCTGTTTATATTCAGTCTGGCACCTGGGCCTTGTTTTTGGTTCCCATTTGCTAGGTCTCCTTGGTGGACTCAGACCATTCCTTTTTGTCCCCTTCTGCTGTCCTTTGGGTTACAATTCTGTGTGGAGCTGTGTAAAACTTTTGTGTGTCATAAGAAGAAGAATCAGGGCATAGAACCACGAATAGGCCCTTGTGAATCTTGTCTGAGCCAGCCTCACAGACCAGGGAGTTTGATGATCTCACCGGACTGTCGTCCACCCGGATGAACTTTGCTGAAGGTCACCAATCAGACCAGTTGAGGTTCTCCCACTATCTCAATATTGTGTCCTGAGAGTATGCTCTCTGGTTTTCCAATGGCTGGAGAGTCCAGATTGATGGGTCTGTGTTCAGAGGTGGCCAGCTGTCATTTTGGGGCTCAAGGCACGAGATATACAAATGTTCTATTTCTATCAGCCAATACCAGCTCTCTTGGGAATCCTCTAAACCTGAGCCCTCTCTTCTTCCAGAAAAAATTGTCTGCTTCTCATGTGTACTTTTATCACAATCTTAATTCTTGTTCCCCACAACTTCACCAACGATGATTTGGGTCTCCATGTCCAACTCTGGACAACCCAATTTGAGCAAAATTGTTTATTTGAGAAGTGTCTTAGGAAAGGAGGAAGCCCAGTAGGTGGCTCCTGTTGGATGATATGTTGAGGTCTCCAAAAGAAATTCTGAATCAAAAGTTGTTTCACTAAGAGACCAGAAGGTATATCCTTTTTGTTCCCTCCTGGACAGAACAATGACATAGCTGGACAATCACAGCCCAGGAGTTCACTGAAGGCCTCTCTACTTTTCCCATGTCCTCAATCAAGACTTAAATAAAAAATAAAAGTTTCCCTTGTAACTTAGTTCTTATACAATATGTGAATGATCTCCCACTTGGTCCAGAGAATAAAAAAGCCTCTAAAAAGGATTCCATTGACTTGCTCTCAACCTTAGCAAGAGAGAAATATAGAGTTTCAAAACAAATTACAATTCTGCTAGACACAGTTCATGATTTAAGACATAACCTATTTAAAGTGGGCCAAACATCTTCATCCTTCCATTAAAATTAGCGAAACTTTCAGAAACCTGTGAGCTCCCTTGTTGCAAATGCACACTAGCAATGATGGCTGTCCAGTCGATTCCCTTAGGAACACACTGGTTGTCCCACTCTAAATTAGTAGCTGGAAGACCCATATATCTAGGAATTTCACTACCCAGACTAGATTACACTACCCTACTACATGCAGACGTGGCCACATATTGCAAAGAACTCTTGAAATATTACCCAAGTTTTTCACCAACAGCTTGAGGCCACCGTTCCTGAAATCTTCCTAGAAGCCTCTTCATGATCTTCAACTGTGGGAAGATTTTTCTATCACAGACACATCAGAGAAAAACTGCCCTTACGCATCATTGGAAGGGACCCTCTCAGGTACTGTTTAGAAACAAAGCAGTGTAACTCCTGGGAGTTCACCCTTGGCTTCCTACTTCACCACTAAAATAAAATAAAGTAAGAAAAGAAAAGAAAAAAATAAAATAATAAAATAAAATAAAAATTTTTAAAGTCAGAATTCCACAAAATTAGAAGGCTCCTCAAACTGAGGATTCTCAGAGATCCTCTGGAAATAGCCCATCTTCAGAAGCAGGTAGTTGACCCAAGACTTCCAGAACAGGCAAATTGTGATGGATAGTGGGCAGTTTCCACACAAGATATTGGGTCAAGACTCCCATCTAATTCTTTTTTCATTTTGTATCTGCCTAGTAAAAATAATTCTCATTTTCCATAAACCCCTTGTTGCCATTCACCCAGAACGACCCCTTTACTCCCTTTTTCTTATTGTAATTGTTCTACTAATTATTATCCTTGTAAGGTCAGATCATATCCGATGGCACTCCTCTCGGTGGGTCTGACTGCTGGGTGTGCCATCCATTCCCAGACCACAAGGGACATCCCTCTGGGAAATTCAGATCTCATCAAATGAAATGAATCACCAAGGCTGGAAATTCCAACTCATATGTGAGCTCCAAATTGAGGCCGCTTTTGATTATCCAGGCACACGACTTGGAAGAATTACTATTGATGCCCCAAATTAGAACAATGTTCCCTTTGGTGGAAATTGCATAAATAAAAAAGCCTGTAGGAAAGCTATCTCTAATGTTGGCAAAAGTTCCTGATAATACAGCTTATGTCCCAGATGGAATACGGATCTGTCTCATCCTATTGGCAGCATAGTGATGGACGTACCATTGCCGTAGATTTCTTGTTGGCAGGATGTGGTGGCATCTGTGTTATTGTTGACACTTTTTGTGCTTGGACCCATAAAGTAGGGTAGGTAGAACAGGTTATGAAGGGCCTTAAGGAAGAAACTGTTGGGCTTTAAGGTGGATCCTCATGCCTTACGGGATTTGTTCTCTTGGCCTGGGTTGGGCAGTTGGGGTTCCGGGTTTTGAAGCACCTTATATGGACTCTTAACCTGTTCTTGTTTGTTTGGTTTCATAGTGGTCATAGTGCTGGCCTTTTGCCTTCGATCCAGGGTCTTTTTTTTTTTTTTAAAGATTTTATTTATTTATTCTTGAGAGACAGAGAGAGAAAGAGAGAGAGAGAGGCAGAAGCAGAGG